AAACCCTTTTTGAAAACCTTGGGCTTTTAAAATTTATTTCAAGATCTCCTATAAACAGGATATAGAATAGCTTAAATACTCTACATTCTGAAGTTTTAAGCTTGTTCTGATGTTTTTTGAGTGAATAGTGAATTTTTTAATATTGAGTGAAAACAGCCTGAAAAAACCCTAATTTTCGTAAAACTGGCTTTTCGATAGATTCTGGCGCCGCTAGTAATTTAGTCACAGGTATTAGTTGAATACAGTAAATATGCTAGTGGAAGGAGAGGAGAAGGAGAATAATTATCATGAATTTGTGAATATATTGGTGGATGTATTTATTACATTAATATGGATAATTAATAATTTTTTCTGTTTTTATTATGATTGTAGAGGCACACAATTACATAATATTAATCAAGTGTTTTGTTTTTGTATATTTGTGTATTGACATTAACTGTTTTTTCTGTTTAAAAACTGATACGTGTCAGCCACTGCCACTGTGAAGTAAAATGAAAAAAGAAAATTGCACCTTTATTTTTGTATGTTTAAACAACAATACTTTGTGTCATTTTTTTTCTTCTTGAACACATGCGCATACATACATACAACCTTTTTTTAAAAAGAAGAAATATTTCATTTCATTTGTACCATTGGCAAAACAAACCTTTTTTCAACAAAGAATATAATACAAAAGAAATATTGTTGACAAATTTTTTGTTAAGCTATTCATTGATTGAATTGCTTATATAAACTGTTCATTCATTTAGTTTATGTAACAAACAATGATAGAAGTTTTATATTTTAAGATTAGAGTTTAAATAGCAGTGAAAACTATGTTCTATTATTTTTGTATTGATAAAAAATTTGTTGTTTAAATAGTCTTTTTGTCTGCCTGATTTCACTTTTAGTAAAATACAAAGATGATTATACTATTTGATAATGAATAAATACCTTTACTGTAAAAATTTAAAGTATTCAATCATTCATAACGTTTTCTATTGTTTGTTATTCCAAGTACACGTACAAATAACACTCTTTCTTTAAAGTGTATAAATTCTAAAAAGAAAGATAATCGTTTCTCTTCTTTTTTTTTTTCTTCATCATACTTTAGATGAATATAATACAACAGAAAAATTGAAATTTATAAAATTCTAGACCGTTTTTCGTTAAGAAAGAAAAAAAAACTCTTTTCTTTTGCTCTTACTATTTATTGTTTAATCGATTATTTGTTTTATACTTGATACACTTTTATGCGATATTCCATTTTCTTCTATTTCATTTCTATTTTGTACACCTTCATTTGCTGTTGTTGTTTTTTTTTGGTTAATGATGATGTGTGTGTTTTTAGTAAAAATGAAAAATTGACTATAGAAAACATTTAAAAAAAAAATAGTCATGTCTTATATTTTTTACCAATATTGATTTAATCTATTAATCTACAATCGATAGAGAAGAAGAAAAATCAATATTCTTCTACCTCTTCCTCTAAAATCTATATGATCTCTCAATTTTAAGAGAATATACGTGTGCTGACACGTATTATTCAATGATCGTTTGTGTTTTTTTTCTTATAATGTTCATAGCAGTATTATATATAAACTATTTGAAAATGTGTTAAACAGTAGTTGTTGTTTTTTTTCTTCTTTTATTCTAAAAATTGAAATCGAAACAAATTTATAGCTAAAAATATATATATATTTAACTAATTACGACTGAACAAAGTGCACATTTTCGTTCTATGTTTTCTTATTTTGACTCTTTTTCATTTCTTCAAGACTTAACACATAACTTGGTAGAAATAAATCATATTTGAACATATTTCTTTATAGTTAAAACTGCGCAATTGGTGCTTATTGTTTTTCTTCTTCTCTTAATTGTATGACACAGATTAGAATGTCTCGATTTTAGATATAAACATCGTGTGAATGAAATTTTTTTTGTGTTTAAATTCTTTTTCTTTTAAATAAATATATAGTGCTGCTTAAAACATAAAAAATAATGAATATGACTACATGTCTTTCCGTTTAAATCCTCGATTTTTAACTCATAATCATCGTTTTATAATCTATTGTCTATTATCATTATTAATATTTCAACCAATATTATTTCTCATTTATCTTTCATTGATTACACCACTGTCATCTGTTGAACATTGTCGAACAAATAATGTTAGAATAAATACAAATAGTTTATCAGATCAATTACATAGTCAAAATTTAAATACTGATCAACATCATATTTCAGCAAATACAAGTGATATATCAAATATTTTACAATTCAGTCCACGTATATTGTGCTGGATACCAACAACACATGAAAGATTAGATAGAGCACTTGTTATACATGAGTAAGTGTCGTCTTCGTACGTGTGGTTGCATTTGGGGTTAGTTTTCTCCTGATTTTCCATTGACGATACGCTCTTACTTATGTTGCAGAACATGGGGAAAACGTTGTGATCGTACAATATTTATAATTGGTCGTCACCGTGCAGCAAAACCATTAAATCGTACCATTTATCCATTTTCAGTTGCTTATATTGGAGATGAAAAAATAGAAAAATACAATCGATTAAGTGAAAAAGTGTTACTTTCATTATTGTATCTATACAAACGTTATATTAATGAATTTGATTGGTTTTTAAAAGCGGATGATGATACGTACGTAATTATTGAAAATTTACGACATTTTCTTCGACGAAAATTATCAAATTCAACCGGCTATTTTGGTTTTGTAGCCAAAACTCGTGACCGTCCGTATCCGTCAGGTGGTGCCGGTTATGTATTGAGTCAAACAACACTATTAAAATTAGGTGAACAAATATTGACAAAACCAGACAAACGTAAATTATGTCGTGATAATGAAGCAGAAGATGTTAATTTAGCTTATTGTTTAGCTCGTATAAATATATCTGTAGCAAATACGCGAGATCAAAATCAATTAGAAACATTTCATCCCATGACATTTGAAGAACATTTTTTAGGAAAATTTTCACGTTGGGTTGAAACTTATTCACAATTTGATCAAAAAAAAGGAGAAAAATGTTGTAGTAATTTTACAATTTCATTTCATGGAATGGTACCACGTGCTATGAAATTATTGCACTTTCTGTTGTATAATATACAAATTGCACAAATTTAATACATTTTTAAAAAGAAAAAGTGATAAGGAGTTTTAGTTATTCAAATGAACTTTTTTCTCGTAATTGCGCTAGTTTTTTCTTTTTTGTAACGGGACAAATGCGTTGTTTTCACAAACTAAATATTTTTTTATTATATAGTTTGTGAGTGTCTTTTACATCCTGCATGACTGCTTCTAGTAATCACGAATGATATGATTTTACAACAGAAATATAATTGCAACATTATCATAACATCGCTAATGGAGCGGCAGAATACAGATGATCGTCCTGGAAAGAAAGCTCCGAAACGATCGTCCTGGTTTTCAGTTGATGAGTCGCAATGAATTATAGTAACGTTATCCTGTATGTGAGTATCAATACGGATACAAACATTTAAATTGAAAGATACGCGTTAATTCTAAGTTCCTAGGTTTGATTGGTTGTGGGTGAAACATATTTGAGTAGGTTATGCAATATTTATAGAAATCAGGATATTGCTAAAAGACGCGAACAGCCACGAACACCCCCAAATTAAAATCTGAGTTAGCCAACCGATAGAGCTCGTCGAGCTGAGTATAGCAACGCCTAACGAACACCCAAAAAAGTTTTTATAGTTTCGCTTTTTAAGCATACATTTTGAATGAACGCCCACGAACATCCGCGAACACCTACGAACACAAAGAAGAAAGGGTAAGAACACCCAAAAAAGTGCGCCAAATTCATCTCCAGGGCTGAGGGTGAGATGTGGGTGAGCCTACCAG